TCTGTGGAGGGACCTTTTAGTTTGTAATTAGTGGGAGGCAGGTAACAGCTGCCTATTTGGTAGATTCTGGAGTTATGAGTAAATATAGAGTATTTGTGTATTAATAAGAATCACCTGTCTAAGAGCAAATAAATACACGGATGAGGATCTGCTCAGGGACTTCAGCCTGGAAAGCTGTCAGCCTCTCAGCTCTAAGGCTGTTGGTCCCCTGGATAGATCCACTCTGTTGTTCTATCTGGGTGTTCTGCCTCTCAATACCTTCAGTGCTACCTAGGTGGGGGTCTCCCAACCGAGCTGGTTCTCAGTACGGGAGGACATGGTTCATGTCATAGTCTGAGTGAATGATGCCCCTTAGAGTTGAACAGTGCATGACTTGTACAACTGTTCTTGGGAGCCCAGTGCCCTGGTGACAGGGCTTTCACTCCTTTGGCCACATCCCAGCCCAGCCCGTATGGCCCCTACCTTCCAGCTGTTCATGGAGGTCCTTCTCTTGCTTCCCTGCAAAGAGGCTGGCCAGGCTGGTCTTCCCCACTCCAGGATCTCCAAGTAGCACCACACGGTAGAAGGCCTCCCAGGAGGCTTCAGAGTCACTGGATTCAGAAGACCAATCATCTGGGGCAGGGGAAGGCTTCTGGGTGGGAGGATTGAGGGAGGCTGATTGGCCCAACCGGGGATGCTGGGATTGAGTGGAAGGCGCTGTGCTCAGGAGGCCAGGCTGGCTGCCCCGCGGGGACAGGGGCAGTGGGGTGCTAGCTCGCCGGCACAGAGGGGTCTTTGATTCCTGCCTGGTGTTGAGTGTCATCTTTGGTAGAGGGGTTTTGCCTCTTCCTTCCTTCTGAAAGAAGGGGGAATTGGCTGTCAGCCAGTGGCTTTGAGCTGCTGCTTCTTTCTATAGCATCCCGATAAGCTGCTGAGATGGCTTTTTCCAGATCCTCCTCTTGTTCAGATGGGAGGATGAGGTGCCTCAGCTTCTTGGGTTGGGGGCCTTCTGGCTTCAGGCTGAGCGTACACCTGGATCTGGCTGGAAGGAGTGAGCGCACAGGCTGTGAACACACAGACATGCACACCCAGAGGCCATTAAGGATGACCTACTCCTGATGACAGGCAGGCGGAAGGGCAGCAGTGAGGTGGGGTGTCCTCACATGCACACTCTCCCTTCTGTGTACCGGGCCTGCCCTTTCCATACAACAAGAGGCCCTGGCTGTGAAAGGCATCTGAATTGTTCCCCTCCTCCCCTTCCCCACTGCTCTCTTTCACAGGTTCTGGGTCGGGAGTGCAGTTTGAGGTCCCCCACCAAGGATAGGGGTTACTTAACTTTGATGCCCAATTTCACGGAGTCTGAGGAGGAAGAGGCAGGAGGGTGGGTTGATACTCCAGAAGGGTGGGGGGGCGTGGGGGGTAACCCGACTGTAACCCGAGTGCCCTGGTGCTATGGGAACCGCGTGTCTGACCCGCCCACTGTGTGAAAAATTCAGGAGCGGCTGGCGCTACGGCCTCCAACTGCTTTTAATGACCGGAGCTGCCAGGCCTCAGGTTAGGTGACAGGACAGGGTCGTGGCAAGGGACGGGGAGGACAGACCACAGGGCCCAGGAAGGCTGTGCCATTCCTGGAGTCTGGGTCCAAACTTTCCCAGCCGGCATCCGGGGTGTGAATGCCCCATCCTGGGGTCGGGGGGTCTTTGTCTAGGGCTACCCAGCTCTCCGGGTCCCAAGGTCTGAAGACCCTCACCCTCGGGACGCAGTTTCGAAGTCCCCCTACCCTGGCAACGCTGCAGAACCCCCCTGCAATCGCCTGGCGAACTCTGCTCCAACTTTAGCAAGCTGGCGGCGCGGAGCGCAGGGCTTTACCTCGGCGTGGGAGGGTCCAGGGTCCCCCGCAGCTCCAGCGGCAGGATGCTCCAGGCTGCACCACCCGCCTCCGCACGCAGCCCCTCAGGCCAGTTGCCCTCCCCTGGGTCGGGGGAGGAGCCGCGACCCCGCCCCATCCAGCCCCGCCCCGTTAGGGCAGCCCCGGGGTCCCCGCCCCAAGGCCCTGGCCGCTCAGTGACTTTTCTGAAAGCGCAGAGCTCAGCTGACCCGCTTCTGCCAGTCCTACGAACTGAACCGGGTGAAGGGTGGTGGATGAGAGAGGATGGGGGCTCGATTCTTGGGTCTGGAGCGTCCCATCTGGGTCCACATCTGTCCACTCCATCAAGGGGATGAATCAACATTAGCCTCCAGAAAAACCACTTGGGGAACTTGCTAAATGTTCGGGTCCCACCTTCCAAGAGAGGCAGATTCCGCAGTGCTGGGAGAGGGGTTTGGGAAGCTACATTTTAAACAAGTGCCCCAAGTGATCCTAGTGCAGATGGCTCATTGACCTCACTTTGAGAACCTCTGCTCTGGATGAAGGATTAATTCTGGGAGGTGATCTGGAGGAAAAGAGAGCTCAGGAAGTCTGCACTGAAGAATCCTGAAAATCGTATATTTGGCATCATTGCATCATTCATTCATTCACCAGCTGAGGCTTAGCTGGTTCTGGGCCTCAAGTCTCTGCCGTTCAGCCTGTTTCTCTCTCTCTCTTTATTATTTATTTTTTTCTTTTGAGATGGAGTCTCGCTCTGTCAGGGGAGTGCAAAGGCACGATCTCAGCTCACTGCAACCTCTGCCTCCCAGGTTCAGGTGATTCTCCTGCCTCAGCCTCCCCAGTAACTGGGATTACAGGCACCTGTCACTATGCCTGGCTAATTTTGTATTTTTAGTAAAGACAGGGATTCTCCATGTTGGTCATGCTGGTCTTGAACTCCTGACCTCAGTTGATGGGCTCAACTCAGCTTCCCAAAGTGCTGGGATTACAGGTGTGAGCCACTGCATCCAGGTTCAGCCTACTGTTTCTATCACTCATGGATAAAAAACAAACAAACAAACAAACAAACAAACTTGCAGGTATGGAGCAAAGAGAGTGCTGGTGACGTTGGTCATCCGAGGGGCCAGCATCCAGACTCTTTGACAGGGGTGCCTCCCTTTAGGTCTTGAGAAATTGGGGTGTGTACATGTGTGGAGCCCATGGAGACCAGGCTGCACCTGTAGGTGGGGCTCGCTGTCATGGCTGAGGGGGTTCAGGTGTCCAGCTTGGAATAACTCCCACAGCAGCTGGGCAGACTGGCTCAGCCCCAGCAGGTCCTGGAACTGATGCGGAACGCCCTCATGGCTGGCTTCCTTCCGTGGCTTGGCCCTCTTAGCTTACCTTTCTGGCTTGGAAGATGGGCCGTGCCTGTTGCAGCACCCTTCATTGTCTGGGAGTGAGGTGACTTGGCTTTTAGTTCCATCTCTACAGCTCAATTGCTGTGTGACCTTAGGCAAGTCAACTCCCCTCTGTGGTTTTCAGTTTCTTTATTTAAAACCATGATTTGAACAGCTTACACTCTTGCTAAAAAACTTTTGGTTGGGCCGGGTGCGGTGGCTCACGCCTGTAATCCCAGCACTTTGGGAGGCTGAGGCGGGTGGATCATGAGGTCAAGAGATCGAGACCATCCTGGTCAACAAGGTGAAACCCCGTCTCTACTAAAAATATGAAAATTAGCTGGGCATGGTGGTGTGTGCCTGTAATCCCAGCTACTCAGGAGGCTGAGACAGGAGAATTGCCTGAACCCAGGAGGCGGAGTTTGCGGTGAGCCGAGATCGCGCCATTGCACTCCTGCCTGGGTAACAAGAGCGAAACTCTGTCTCAAAAAAAAAAAAAAACCAAAAAAAATACCTTTTGGTTGTCTACAATACAGAAGTCTGAACTTGGAGTTCAAGCCCCATTATATTCTCTGGAGAATCCTTTCAACCTCTCCTCCCAGGAAAGCCCTTGCTTGGCTCACGTCCCACTCTTTTAGGCACATTCTGTTCCTTCTGCCTGGGATACCTTTTACCCTATTCATCTTTCATGACGCAACTTAGAGCCCGTGTACCAGACACTGTTCTAAGCTCTAGATGAATATTATCTCAGGGGTTCTCAAACTTTGGCGGTGTGTTAGAATCACCTGGAGGGCTTGTTAAGCCACATTTTGCTGGGACCCACCCTTCAGGGCTTTGGATTCAGTAGGTTCCGGGTAGGGCTAGAGAAGTGGCATTTCTAACAAATCCCAGGTATGGCTACTGCTTGCTGGTCTGGGAACCACATTTTAAGAGCCAGTGTATTATTTCATTTAATCCCCTAAGTGAGATGGGTAGCTGTTACTCTCTATGACATGGGTACTATTACTCCTATTACTCTTCCCTTTTTTTTTTTTTTTTTTTTTTTGAGACAGAGTCTCACTCTGTTGCCCAGGCTGGAGTGCAGTAGTGTGATCTCGGCTCACTGCAACCTCCGCCTCCTGGGTTCAAGCAGTTCTCCTGCCTCGGCTTCCCGAGCAGCTGGGACTACAGCTGCACGCCACCATGCCCAGCTAATTTTTTTGTATTTTTAGTAGAGAGGGGGTTTCACCATGTTGGCCAGGCTGGTTTCGAATTCCTGATCTGCCCGTCTCAGCCTCCCAAAGTGCTGGAATTACAGGCATGAGCCACCGCGCCTGGCCTGTTCTTCCCATTTTAGAGTCGGCCTGCATTCATGCTGGTCACTTGGCCTTGCAAGGGCCTGTCATCATTTCATAGACAACAGCCTGAGGCTCAGAGAGGTTAGGTGACTTGTCTGATGTCTCACAGCAGTTAGGGGGAGATGCTGGGATTGAATTAGGTCTCTCTTAAGTCAAGGTTTTTTCCACTCTCTTAGGCGGGGAAGATGTCTAGTTTCTGACCCTAGACATTGTCTCAGAAAATTCTGCCCCCAGCTTCAGAGCTCAGCAGGCTCCAGAGGGTGTGGCTGACCCGTTCCCATGTAGCTGGCAGAGGTCCCAAGCAGCCTGGGGACCACATGGCCTCATACTCCCACTTAGGTCTGCTGCCCACAGCACGGCCGTCATCTGCCGCTCAATAAAGGCTGGGCTGGAAGCAGCGAGGCTCAGCATCTCGGCTCCCTCCTCTTGCTTTCTCTCCAGCAGCCGCCCCAGGAGCTCCGTGGCCATGACACAGCTACTTCTGCTCCTTGTGGCTCTCCTGGTCCTGGGTCATGCGCCACCAGGTACCCACTTAGTATGTGTGTGTGTGTGCATGTGCATGTGCGTGTGTGTGAAAGAGGACCAGACTCTCAGGTCCTGGAGGACAGAGGGGCCTGGGCCTGCATTTAAGTTCTGGCCCCACCAGCGACCTGCTGGGTAACTTAGAGCAACTTGCTAAATCAGCCTGCACCTCAGTTTTTGAATCTCCAAAATGGGATTCTCTCAATAAATATGCATTTATGTTATGATGGTTGTGAAATCATAACAGTGACAGACGTCTAGCAGTGAAAGAAAACAAGGTCCTTGCTTTCATGCAGCTGACATTTTAGTTGGTTGGGGTAGAAAATAAACAGATAAACATATGTCAGGTGGTGATAAGTGCTAAGAAGAAAGACAAGGGAAGGGGTTACAGTGGCGAGTGTTTGGATGGGGCAGTGATGGGAAGGCTGAGGAGGATGGACAGGGAAGGCCTCTGATAAAATTTTTTCCCTTTTTTTTTTGAGACGGAGTTTCATTCTTGTCGCCCAGACTGGAGTGCAATGGTGCGATTTTGGCTCTCTGCAACCTCCACCTTTTGGGTTCAAGCAATTCTCCTGCCTCAGCCTCCCAGGTAGCTGGTTTTACAGGCATGTGCCACCATGCCCAGCTAACTTTTGTATTTTTAGTAGAGACGGGGTTTCGCCACGTTAGTCAGGCTGGTCTCGAACTCCTGACCTTGGGCTAATTCACCTGCCTTGGCTTCCCAAAGTGCCAGGATTACAGATGTGAGCCACCACAGCCAGCCTAGATCTTTTCTTTTTAAAAACTTTTTATTTAGGAAAATTTCACATATACATGAATGTAGGGAGAATAACATAAATAAACAAGGTGAACTTTAAACATTTTTATTATGGGAAAATTTAAACTTATGCAGAAATAGAGACTAATGTAACAGCATGAGTTTTTAAAAAGAGACTTCTTTATTTGACTTTTTAAATTTTTTGTAGAGATGGGGGGTCTCACTGTTTTGCCCAGGCTGGTCTCAAACTCGGCCGAAAGCAATCCTCCAGCTTTGGCTTCCCGAAGTGCTGGGATTACAGGCATGAGGCCAGCCAGAAACTTTGGTATTTAGGAAAATTTCAACCAAAAATAAGAAATAAATAGTATAAAGAACCTCTATTACCCATCGCTCAACCTCAACAATTACCAGCTTGAACGAATCCTGTTTTGTTATTTACTTCCTCCTCCTCCCCTGTGAATTATTTTGAAGTAGATTCCAGCAATCTTATTTGATATAAAGTGGGTTTGAACAGAGGTCTGAATAAGGTGAAAATATGAGAGAAGATTGTTCCAGACAGAAAGAAGGAGCAGCAAGGGCCGAGGTCCCGAGGCAGGGTGATGGATGTGTTTGAACAGCAGCAAGGAGGGTGGTGTGGCTGGGGGAGGGAGCGCAGAGGAAATCGGTGGGTGACAGAATCAAGATATGAGCAAGAGAGTGCAGATCACGCAGGAGAAAGAAACTGCTTCTGGGTCTTGGGGTGATTGGGAAGTTCAAATATGATGACGCGTTAAGAGTATTTCTTGGCTGGGTGTGGTGGTTCATACCCATAATCCTATCCCTTTGGGAGACCAAGGTGGGAGGATTGCTTGAGCCCAGGACTTCGAGACTAACCTGGGCAACATAGGGAGACCTCATCTCTACAAAAAATTAAAAACATTAGCTGGGCATGGTGGCAGGCACCTGTGGCCCTCGCCACTTGGGGGGCTGGCAGGAGAATTGCTTGAACCCAGGAGGTGGAGGCTGCAGTGGGCGGAGATTGCGCCACTGCACTGGAAGTTATCATGAGCAATATGGGCATGGTCCATGCCCTCAAGCAGCTTCCAGCGTCACGAAGGACGGTTAAAAAAAAGCAAATAAATACAAGACATAGGTTCTGTGGTAACTGTCATGTTGGAAATGATGCGGGTACTGTGATGGCCAATTAGAGCAGATGTGGCAAGTGAGGGGACCATGTGGACAAGCTTGACTGCTAAATGACATTTCTAGACATACAGCCTCAGACAAGCAGAGAGCAAGCAGCTCAGAAGAACTAGCACAAAGTGGGGGGCGCGAGCCACTGTGCCCAGTTGGATAACGTCATTAACCTCGCTGAGCCTCAGTTTCTTTACCTGTATAGCAGGGGTTGTAATAAGACTACCTATAATCATGCAGCATTGTTATGAAAAGTGCTAATGTGTACTTGGTGTGTGGTTTTACCTGGACAAGAAATTCATCTCTATTTTTTTTTTTTGAGATGGAGTCCCATTCTGTTGCCCAGGCTGGAGTGCAGTGGTGCAATCTCAGCTCACTGCAACTTCCACCTCCTGGGTTCAAGCGATTCTCCTGCCTCAGCCTCCCAAGTAGCTGGGACTCAAGGCACATGCCACCATGCCCAGCTAATTTTCGTATTTTTAGTAGAGACAGGATTTCACCATGTTGGTCAGGCTGATCTCAAAACTCCTGGCTTCAGGTGATCTGCTTGCCTTGGACTCCCAAAGTGCTGGGATTACAGGCGTGAGCCACCGTGCCCAGCCTTAGTTTCTAATTTGTAACTAATGGTCTAACCTGTGACCTAATTTAATTAGGTCTAATTTAAATTGTAATCAGTACTCTCATCTATGACTAGGGAGTTAACAAATGACCAGAGGACTAATCTTCGACCAGTGTTAGTGCATCTGTGGTATAACTTGTGACCAGCGGTCTAACCTGTGACCCATAGGCTGCTCTGTGACCTGTGGTCTTCCTCTGCTTAGGGAGAAGTGAATTCAAACGGTGCTGGAAGGGCCAAGGGGCCTGCCGGACTTACTGCACAAGGCAAGAAACTTACATGCACCTGTGCCCGGATGCTTCCCTGTGCTGTCTCTCCTATGCATTGAAACCTCCACCTGTCCCCAAGCCTGAATATGAGTAGCTGCTTCTTGCTGTCCAATAAAACACAGGCTGCCAGTTGTCTCTTCTTTCTGTCTGCTTCCTGTGCTCCTCTTCCCCCAGGGGTGGGGGACAGGTCTAGGATGTGGGAGAAATGGTCCGTGGACGGAGGTGAGGGACCTGAGCAGAGTGGGCGCTAATGACCATTGTAAACAGTTCCAGTCCTGGCCACATCACTTTCTCTCTGTCCAACTCCGGAAAAATTATTCAACCTCTGAAAGTCTCCTCAACCATAAAATGGGGATAATGGCCGGGCGCGGTGGCTCAAGCCTGTAATCCTAGCACTTTGGGAGGCCGAGGCAGGTGGATCACAAGGTCAAGAGATCGAGACCATCCTGGTCAACATGGTGAAACCCCGTCTCTACTAAAAATACTAAAAATTAGCTGGGCATGGTGGCACGTGCCTGTAATCCCAGCTACTCAGGAGGCTGAGGCAGGAGAATTGCTTGAACCCAGGAGGAGGAGGTTGCGGTGAGCCGAAAGTGTGCCATTGCACTCCAGCCTGGGTAACAAAAGTGAAACTCCATCTCAAAAAAACAAAAAAACAAAACAAACAAACAAACAAAAAACACAAAAAAATAGCTGGGCATGGTGGCGTGTGCCTGTAATCCCAGCTACTCAGGAGGCTGAGGCAGGAGAATTGCCTGAACTCAGGAGGCGGAGGTTGCAGTGAGCCGAGATCGCGCCATTGCACTCCAGCCTAGGTAACAACAGTGAAACTCTGCCTCAAAAAAAAAACCAAAAAAAAAAACAAAAAAAAAATGGGGATAATTATACTATCAGGAGATGAGCACTTTATAGAAGCAATGTAAAAAGAAAGGTAGAGTTAATAATGACAGGAGTTAACAATGTGAGTTGATAGTAACAGTGAATAATAGTAATCAGTTATAAGCTCCTGGAATCCGGAATGAGATGGTGCATTTGGCTTGAGAGGCAGGCCCTACTGAGAGTGAAAGGGTTCTCCTGTGTTTCTTGATATGGTATCCTAATGACTTAGGGACTGAAGCCAAGACCAACAGACTAGATCGTTTTCTGAAAATTAAGCCTCACTGCCCATTTCCTCCCAGTGTTCAAACAGACCCTCACTTAAGCATACATCCAACTTCCTAAGTCATCAGGATACTCCCAGCAAGCCAAAGAGACCAGCCAATTCTGGGGTGGAAGATTCCCCAAAATACCTCACAGGTGAGGTCCACAAGCTGAGAGGGAAAGTGACTTGTTCAAGGCCAGAGAGTTCCCACGTGACATGTCAAGGAGTGGAGCCACACATGATGGGGCAGGTTTGGGAGAAAGGGAGCCCTCTGACGCTGGAGACATGTAAGGTAAGCCTGGTGGCTCTGGGATGCTAGAGAAGGAAGCTACCTGGATAGGTGCTCAGAAGGGCTTTTTCCGAGAACAGGCTATACTCAAGGAAGCATTGAAAGGTTGAGATGATGATATATAAGTACCCTGTAGAAAGTACCAATTGCTTGGTTGGGCATGGTGGCTCACACCTGTAATCCCAGCACTTTGGGAGGCCGATGTGGGTGGATCACGAGGTCAGGAGTTCAAGACCAGCCTGGCCAAGATGGTGAAACTCTGGCTCTACTAAAAAAAAAAAAAAAAAAAAAAAAAAAAAAAAAAAAAAAATTAGCCAGGCGTGGTGGTGGGTGACTGTAATCTCAGCTGCTCAGGAGGCTGAGGCAGAGAACTGCTTGAACCTGGAAGAGGTTGCAGTGAGCAGAGATAGTGCCACTGCACTCCAGCCTGGGCAACTGAGGAGACTGTGTCTCAAAAGAAAAAAAAAAAAGAAAGTACCAATTGCTTTATTGCTTTATCTGTATCACCTCAATGAATTCCCACAGTTGTATGTATATGTGTATATATATATATATATATATATATATATATACACACACACATACCTATATACAGACATATATATATACATATATAAATACATATATACACATACACACATATATATACACATACATACGTGTGTGTGTGTGTGTGTGTGTGTGTGTGTGTGTATTTGAGATGGAGTCTTGCTCTGTTGCCCAGACTGGAGTGCAATGGCACGATCTCGGCTCACTGCAACCTCCGCCTCCTGGGTTCAAGCGATTCTCCTGCCTCAACCTCCTGAGTAGCTGGCATTATAGGCACGCGCCACCACGCCCAGCTAATTTTTGTATTTTTAGTAGAGACGGGGTTTCACCGTGTTGGTCAGGCTGGTCTCAAACTCCTGACCTTGTGATCTGTCCAGCTTGGCTTCCCAAAGTGCTGGAATTACAGGCGTGAGCACCACGCCCAGCCAATTGTTACTTCTCCTCCTCCTCCTCCTTCTTCTTTGTCTCCCTGTCTCTGTCTCTGTCTCTGTCTCTCTCCTTTCTTTTTTAACCCAGGGCCTCACACTGCTGGGCTCAAGTGATCCACCTCAGCCTCTGAGGAGCTAGGTGCCGCCATACCTGCCATATATATAGTAGAGATATAGTAGAGATGGGGTCTTGCTATGTTTCCCAGGCTGGACTTGAACTTCTTTACTCAAGTGATCCTCCTGCCTTGGCTTCCCAAGGTGCTGGGATCACAGGTGTGAGCTGCTGCAGCTGGCCTATCTCCGCCTTTTCTATAAGGTAGCTAAGGCTCTGTCAGGCAACTAAGAAAGTTGCCCACATCATACACCTAGGAAGCAGTGAACCTGGTACTCTGCCCTGATCCTCTGCCTGATTTTGTCTCCCAGAGTCATTCTTTTTTTGGAGACAGTCTTGCTCCGTTGCCCAGGCTGGAATGCGGTGGTGCAATCACGGACTGCAGCTTTGAACTCCTGGACTCAAGCAGGCCTCCCACCTCAGCCTTCCCAGTAGCTGGGACTGCAGGCATGTACCACCATGCCTGGCTAATTTTTGTATTTTTTGTAGACACAAGGTCTTGCTATGTTGCCCAGGCTGGTCTTGAACTCCTGGCCTCAAGCAATCCTCCTGCCTCGTTCGGCCTCGCAAAGTGTTGGGATTATAGCCATGAGCCACTGTGCCAGGCTCCAGAGTCATTCTTATTTGTATCTTTAATATTTTTTTCTAATTGTAAAAGTAATATATATTCATTGGGAAACATGTCAACAGAGAAGCACAAATAAGAAAACTAAAATCATTAGTGTTTTCATTGTACAGAAATACCCAGAATAGGCTGGGCATGGTGGCTCACTTCTTTTTTTTTTTTTTTTTTTAAATTGCATTTTAGGGCTCACTTCTTTAATCCCTGCACTTTGGAAGGCTGAGGCAGGTGGATCACTTGAGGTCAGGAGTTCAAGACCAGCTTGGGCAACATAGTGAAAACCTGCCTCTACTAAAAATACAAAAATTAGCCGGCGTGGTGGCGCATGCCTGTAATCCTAGCTACTCGGGAGGCTGAGGAAGGAGAATACTTGAACCTGGGAGGCAGAGGTTGCAGTCGGCCAAGATGGCGCCACTGTACTCCATCTTGGATGACAGAGTGAGACTCCTTCTCAAACAAAGAGAAACATTAAATATACATATGTCATTTAATTTGTTAATAGACAGACTTCTCTACCCTTGTTTGTAGCAGCTTTGCTTGTAATAACCCATAAATGGAAACAGCTCAAATCTTCAACGGATAAATGGATAAACTGAGTTATATCCATACAATATGCTACTCAATAAATAGCAATAATTTACCAATACACACACTATGAATTAATTTCAAAAACATTATATTGAGAGAAGAGAGACACAAAGAAATACATGCTGAGTAATTCCATTTACATGATGTTTTAGAAGGGTAAAACAAAGTTGATTTAAAAAGTAAGAAAAGGCCGGGCGCGGTGGCTCACGCCTGTAATCCCAGCACTTTGGGAGGCAGAGGCGGGTGGATCACGAGGTCAAGAGATCGAGACCATCCTGGTCAACATGGTGAAACCCCGTCTCTACTAAAAATACAAAAATTAGCTGGGCATGGTGGCGTGTGCCTGTAATCCCAGCTACTCAGGAGGCTGAGGCAGGAGAATTGCCTGAACCCAGGAGGCGGAGGTTGCGGTGAGCCGAGATCGCGCCATTGCACTCCAGCCTGGGTAACAAGAGTGAAACTCCGTCTCAAAAAAAAAAAAAGTAAGAAAAAAAAAGAAAAAACCCACCCAAAATCTTATTTTCTTTAAATGTCTCTTTTTTTCCGAGCACATGTAGTTGAGTCTGGGTAAATTATCTGTGCATATGATGCAGCTCCATTTGTCTCTATAAAGAGTTTGATGTGTATACCTATGTAACAAACCTGGATGTTCTGAACATGTACCCCAGAACTTAAAGTATAACAATAATGATAATACAAATAATAATAAAATAAATTCCCATCTGGATTCCTTGGGGAAAAAAAAAAAAGTTTGGTGATTCAGTGAGACGCATTGTTTTCTCAGGACTCTCGTAAGGAGATCAATGACTCTCAAGGGGAGATACTCCCCTCTAGCGGTTATTTTGGGAATTGGCTGGGGAGTTTTTGTTGTTTTGGAGATACGGTATCTGTGGTCTCCGTCACTGCAACCTCTGCCTCCTGGGTTCAAGCGATTCTTGTGTCTCAGCCTCCCGAGTAGCTGGGATTAAAGGCACGAGCCATCATGCCGGGCTAATTTTTTTTTTTTTTTTTTTTTTTAGTAGAGACGAAGTTTCACCATATTGGTCATGCTGGTCCGGGGGTCAAGTGATCCGCCCCCCTCAGCCTCCCAAAGTGCTGGGATTATAGGCGTGAGCCACCGCGCCCAGCCGAGACACAATTTTCAATGCTATAACTCCAATATTCTGTACATGTTCATTAATTTTGCTCCTTTTCCTCCTAATTTGAACCCGCAGTAGACTGGCTTAAGTCCAGTGAACCCCTGGCCGAAACTAAGGTTTCTCTGATTTGGGATTCCTAATGATTTCCATCGTTGTCCCAACTGTATTAAGTTGATGATTTTCACCTACGCCGTGCTAGCATCAGCAATTTTTTTGTTTTTCATTAATTCTACTTACATTTATTGAATACCTTCTATGTGC